AAAAGCACTAATAGTTCTATTCCATGAATACGTGTTGCTTATAAGAGTTAATGTGATATATACATATATTTATGTTCGTGTGTTTATGCAACACTTTTAACTCAAAACTATCCAATGAATTAGCCATGAAGTTCGGTGGAAGTTTCATACGGCACGACATATAATTATTTTATATACATACATACACACACGCCAAGAAGCAATACAAGAAACTGAAACTACGTCATCGATCGATGGAAAACGACGAAGCATCCTGAGATGTTTTATATTTTCGTGTTTACTGTCAGAACTCGAATTTAATTGTATGCATTATACAGTCGAAAATATTTCGATCTTGTCCTAGAAACAGACACTCTCAGGACACTGTCCTTGGCCTTGATCGTCCAGAATGGTGATCAGTAAACATTGTCTACGTCAACGCCTGGAAATGTTGACTATTCTACCTAACACTAATTCCACACAAAGTTCCCCAAAATTAAAATATGGCAAATATGCAGTTTTCACTTGTAATTTTTATAAGTATATTTCATATTTATAGACGTCTTTACACTGCTTATGTTGCAAGTTTTATTAAAAGTTACGATGACGAAATCAACATAGTAACATAAACAGTCAATAATAAAAACGATTTATTACAGCTGACGACTGTATTTCAACAAAGGATTTAATAAAATACTATTTAATATATTTTTGCTGTTAATACAAATATACTTGCCGCAAATTATGCAGACACTAACACAATTTAACGAAACATTAAAACTTCATTCTACGAGGACACCAGTATCAAGAAATGTAAAAATGTTCAGAAAAATTCCACATTCCGTAGTTACACATTTAAAAACATTAACAGCATTAATCTGAAATGCAGAATAGGAAAGATTGATACTCTTTTGTGTAAATTCCAATACAATCTATCGCGGAAAGAAAAATTCTTAAATAAAAGAAAATTAGAAGGATGTCTTTGATGGGGCGGGTAGAGACACTGACACATTGACCTAAAGAGATTTAGTTTAACACCTACTGTTACAAAAACAGGAAAACAAACCTTTATAATTAGTTTAACATCTACTGTAACAAAAACAGGAAAACAAACCTTTATAAAACGGATCTTTAAAAAATAGTGAAATCTTATACAAGAATGTGGAGTAAATTAATCTCACTCAGAATAATCCATTGGCAAGTTCTTGTGAACACGGCAATGAACCTCTGGGATCCATAAAAGGCGGAAGAAGTTTTGGTCATCTGAGCAACTATTAGGTTCTTAAGAAGGACTCTTCTACAAGACGCTAGATAAAATGTGTGGCCACACTGAGGATGTACGAAACAAAGGCAGAGCGTGTCATTAAAATTATGGCACCCGCTGATAAAAAGCAGTTACGTGATGTTACATCTCGGTTGTAGTTTTATCCAAAGTTAATTCCGGGGCATAAAACCTACAATTATTGAAATGTATTAATTCATAAAGCAGGGAAAAGTATTTCATTTTATGGATGTTCAGGAACCTACTTTTTTTGCTCTGCTAGTGAATTTCGTTTCATTACTGATGGCAGACTAAAATGTTATGTAAATTCAATTTTGGCTGTGTATCAAATCCACAAATATTGAAACACGCGACGTTTGCAAGGATGCTCTATATTTGCATGTATGGAAGTCAATAGGTCGAGTGAAATCTACACTTGTTAAATATCATACGGTAAGATTACTGATAGTATGTATTTCCCACTTGAGGAACAATTTTTCTTCCTGTTTTATTAGTAACGCCACCAAATTAAATTATTGTGTTTGTCCTTGAAATAATATATTATTCTTTTGCATTCGCTACATCAATTATCGAGTCACTTTACTTTACTTTAAATTTAAGCCTTACAATTAAGCCTTTTGTTTCAAAAGAAAACTGGGATGTTGTTTTTACTTGTTGAATTTATGTAGCCTAAATTATGCCATAAAATTGTTTTCTTAGTTTCTGCACAGATACAGTTAAATGAGTACGAAGATTCATGTCTGCCAGAACACTTTAAATCCTGGACTCACTTTCCATTAGTCATAGATTCATTAATTAATGTTCCGCTCCTAACCATCCGCAGGCCTGTTACTTATTAATCCGTAATAAGGTCATGCCAAAGCTCAGGCGGTTAGCAGCCGGCTTCTCACCACAGAGGCTCAGGATCTCTGCCAGGTCAGTCCATGTGGGATTTGTGGTAGACAAATTGGCACCGGGACATTTTTTCCTCCGAGTCCTACGGTTTTCCTCCGTTAAATCATTCCACCGCCGCTCCCTATCCACTCATGTATCATCTGGGGGATGGACAAGGAACCTGCTAGGGGGCCCAAATTCACAGAGACATAGTCTCACCCCCATTCAACAATAAAAAGTAGGAAATTTAAATGTGTCTAATGAAAATATTCCTTTAAACGTAACATTGAGACGTAACTGCGTATCTTTTTTAAATAAACGAGCAGATACAGATCTCTTTTTCTAGCTGTTTCCTGTCAGCGGAATCGTAAAAATGTAGTCTCCCTTCCATTCTCTAGTCAATCGTTCGAGTCCATCAGACGTCGAGAGATCACCACGGATCACCATTCGTTAAGTATTGCTACCGCAGAAGACGGACGACATTGTCGTCGGAATGGCGGTGATTTCCAATACACAGGGCAAAGGAAAGCCTATATTTTAATATAGCATCCTTTTAAAGACGAAGAGTTTACGAACAGAACATACAATTCACCACTCGTTTCAGCAGGCGTTTGTGTACAACTCAAGACAGAACAAACTCTGCAGCTTAAACTGGCTAACAGCTTTAGTCGTATCAATGGTACACTCTCAGTGCATTGGACGTCGGAAACGTCGGAAAAAACAACAATCCCCTAGAGAAACGTACAAATCGGCCTTTCCCGTTCGGTAATATAGATGTAACAGCCAAACATAAATTAACGTGCGAAATTATAAACAGCCACAGTACGTGTACCAACCCTTAGTCATGTATTGTGACAATTGTTCTTATTCCTATTATCCCTTTACATAGATTGGGTGCTATCGAGCCCGTTTTGAGTTATGAAGATTAAGATTGGTCCTTCCATCGAATTCTTCGTCTTCCTATACCTCTCGTTCGTGTTGGTTAGTGAATTTGTTTTCTCCCAACATTGTTTCAACATAATTGATAATTTTGTATGTCACTGCAGTGGACTTGTCACTCACTGCTCATAAATGCACACTCCAAAGATAAAGAAACCTCCCACACGGGGGGGCCATGGTTCGACTTCGGGCTGTTGCGCCATAGAAGAAGAAGTATATCATTTATAATACTTATCTTTATTATGAAAATGTTATGTAACTTAAAAGGTCAATTTTGTTTTATGTTAATATTTTACAGGCAAAATCAAATGCTCCGTCAATGTTAAGTAGTACAGTTCATACAAATGTGTCTGTCTGTAAACTCCCTTCTAATCACTGCGTAATTTCAATATTTATCGCTAAAGTACTCTGGTCTGTTTACTTACCCCTTATAAATCTGACGGGGATTGAAATATCGATTTTCACATGGTCTGTAGATAAAACATGTCAGTCTGTATATTTGTGTAATGTAATGACAGTCCTCTTTTGTGTGGGATTGAATTTGACCTGTTTTAGTGCCCTTCCGTCATTACGGATCGGATTAAAGAGAGAGGGCAAAACGGCTGCAGTAGGCAACAGTGAGCCACGATAGACCTATACTACCCACGAGCACGAGCGGTCTTCAAAGCGTGGTCCGCGACCTGCTTGGTCACTTACATACTAAGTAACTCACATGTCTATATTTTTCTGAACGCACGACAGTTATAATAAAACATGCTTTAAAAAGCGACACAAAGATACGTATTTTAAGGAAATTTAAATGCGTCAGACAATTACAACTCTAACCTCCTATGACGATAGGCAATTCATAAATACTGCTTTATATGTATTTCACAAAAAATAGATACTGTAAAAATAACCGTGACTAGGCTAATGTTTCTTAATAATGACTCATTGTATTCCCTATTTTACAAATTTCCAGCTGCTTTGGAGCCCACGCTGTATTTTTTATACTTGGTATCTGAGGCTAAACCTGACTGACCTTTCGTCTGTACCCAGTACTTGAGTTAGGAAAGCGTGGAGTTTAATTCTACTGTTTTATACTCCTTTATGCTTAATATCTGGCCAACACACACAAAACAGATTTCGCCTTTTTCAGACGGGGATGCCAACAGACAACTGAAGTTTGATTTCGTTGTCCAATTGCCGGACGAAAATATAATTGTATAATGTACTAATTATTATGATTATATTATTATTCTCTCGATGTTATTGGTTTATATTTAAAACTGGAGTCGTATCTCGGTACAATTAACATCGTTTTAAATAAGAATCCAAATAAATGTGTTTCAGAAATGTCCAATCTTATTCGCAAAATCTACACTCTAAACAAAACGAAAGCGAAGAGTGACTAAAAATGAAGTTCCTAAATAAAACCATTATCCCATGTTTAAGAACACCAATATATATTTTTGTTGAACGCATTCTGTTCCTACAGTCTTTAAATACCCCTTGGAACTGTGGTTGTGGTAAATTAAATAACTTTTTATAGGAAATGCACACAAATGGAAACACAATGTCCAGTTGTTTTTAAATTTAATGTAAGAGTTTTAACGATTACATGCATGTTACTAAGGCAACAGCCAGTACATTTTTTGCACACCGAAAGAATTGTTTGCGCTGAACTAGAAGAGTTTCACTGCATGTCACATTGGAGTAAAAACGTATCGAAATGCCACGAGAAACATTCGTACTATTTAATTAAGCCGTTATAATTGTCTAACGTATTTTAAAATCGCATTTGGCGGCTTCTAAATAAAATTCACATATTTTACCTACGTATAAATGAGCGTGAAGGCCGAATGTGATACTTCGGTGAAGTCGTATTGCAAATGTTTGCAGAGCGGAGGTGATGTAAGATCTAAGAGAAACGTGTGACCGTACTTACTGTGTGATCACCGCCGGGTGCATTGCCTTCCTGCCAGTGGGTGGTCACTGCTTCACCACATGCCAGACCAGCGCGCCGAATGTCCGGGGAGATACCCGGCTCGTGACGCTACCCCTGGCAGCCAGGGAGCCGCCTTGCATTCCCGCTGTTGACACCAACCACTCGCTTTTGCCAGAGTCGATTACTGGACACCCCCCACGAAATAAAAACGAAACAAACGCTGTTTTAATAAAAACAGCACAGTGTGTGGGAAACTTATTAATATTCCAGATTAATACGTTATGAGCCCCAATGTAACGCAAATGATTATCACGATTTCCTCATCACTACTGACAGTACAGCCGCGGTGCAACTCAGGTTCCGTCGGATGTGCTATCGACGGACTCAGGGCTGATTCAGCACTAGTTTCAGTACAGGGGTTGACGGCACAGAGGCAGCTAGCAATAGCAGCTCCCACTGTACCAACCCACTACAGCATCCCTTTGCGCTCCATCCCCCCCTCATCACGGTATATCTCCCTCCCTTCCCCTTCCTCTCAGCTCTAGTCTCCCCGCAGAGCCCGCTCCAGCCACGGGCTTAGCTCCAGACCTGGAACCAATGCCAAGCCATGAGTGTGCAGTACTAGCGCTCCGAAATTCGAAAACCGAACGTTCCCGACAAAACACGAGCAAGCTGCTAGTCGATACTCGCTTCTCTCCCTTTAGCTGAGTGCGAGAACAAAGACAGAACAGAATGAGAGTGAGAGAGAGACAGATGAATGAACGAGGAAGAGGAAAAATGTACAGATGAAAGGTATGAGGAAGAGATGAAAGAGAAGGATGCTGTGAAGAGCAGTTCTGAACCCATCGCTTGACCCTAGGAAACACGCTTTAGCACCTCGGCAGAAATTCGCATCCTAAATAGGAATAACCTGTATTTACCTTCATCCGCGCATAAAGACGTCGAGCTACTAATATACTTTGTGGGATCTACGTAAGTTCACACTGCGTGGTTGTTCCTGTCTTCCAACTCTGGAATTGTGCTGTTGTATTCAGTAAGAAACATTTGCATTCGACGTCCAGCGGCGCCAACTACTACTTACTTCAAAAATAAGATATCGGATCAAATCTAACGAAGTCATTACTGTTTGCAATCCACTGTTCCCTATCCTGAGCCAGCTAAATCCAATCCACACTCTTATATCCTATTTCCTTAAGACACATCCAATAAATTAAATAAAAAATTGGAAGACAATATTTTCTAATTTCAATGGTAAACACAATTCCGCGAATTTATAATTCTCTCAGCTTGTTCACGACTTAACTTTTTGTTGCAGTAGTCGAAATAAATATTTACTAAGGACAAAATTACAACAGTACAAAACAATGGTACATGGAATAAAGCAGAAGGCCTATTATGCCTTCTGGCAAGGTATTTTAGTATTTTAATTGTTTTCATGAGGATACAAAGAAGTATAAATATTATTAACTTCGAGTAATGATTAAGGGCACATAACTCTTGTATGGATTTCAATGTCTTAGGTTCTATGGAAACAACAATTAGTTTAACGCTTCGATATAAATTTGCAAGTAGCGTAGGAAATTTTGCGAGAGACTGTACTTAAAAAATATTGGCCTATTATTTCTGATGGAACAACAGCAGTCTGACTTCTTTCGCAGATTTCAGAGGACGATAACAGAAGGAATCACTTTCCCTTCAGTTTGAAGTGTTCTATGCTGACAAATCATCTTTCAAAACCTGACCTGTAAGTTATTTTTGGACTATAACCTACGAAAATGTTTTCTTTTCAACAGTTTCAATAGAACCGGCTTCACTGATTATCAACTGCCGGCCTGCCTTAAGGAGAATCGATAGAAGAGACTTCTATTTGTGCAACCTTCCATTATGTCTCGCCGGATTCAGATCCGATACTACTGGCAGATTAGAAAATACTTCCCCTTTGATTCTTTCAGAATCTCTCAAGTTTCACAAGAACAAAGGCCAGAAATTACAAACTAATCTACCAAGACACAAGTAAAATACATCTATTAAACAAAATTATTGTTCTACCGTGTTTCTTTAATGACGCTGTCTCAGGCGAGGAGTTATATAATGTGGAATAAAATGGTATATCTGTTATAAATTACGAACCGTGAGGAATCTCAGATAAAAAGACGCTTTATACACTTGGTGCTAAATTGCCTTTCGTTCGGAATAAATCAACAGACTCAAGGACATAGACAATTAGGATAGACGATTGCTTATTGGCGCCTTCAGAATTTGAAGTTTAGTATGAATCATAATCCGTCATTAGATAAATAATGACTAAGTGCATATACACGATAAAACTTAAAATCCAGGAGATTAAGTACCAGTGTTCATTGCAGGTGACTGTAACACAATTTAAAATTCCGGGATTGAATAGTGTGTCAATTCGGTTGAATTTCAGGTTCTCGCAGAGGTGAGTAAGAAAATGTCTTCTGGGGTGTTTCACATGATAATCGAGGCAGCTGACACCTCTGAAACATCGGCCAGTTTCCACCAGACTACACGACACAACATTCCAAGAAGACAGCCACATTCGATTTGTTTATTTGCATAAATTACAACTGTTACTTTGCTCGTAATATTTTAACTGTAGCATGCATCTTAAGCGTTACAGGAAAGCATGTGGCTGAAGACGAATAAAGGTTTCCGCACAAATTAACTGCAAGTTACCAAAACAGCTTTAGCCGAAAAGCATCGAATCAAATGGCTTGAAGCTTCAGGTACTAAGGGACGTTGCTTTGGGTAATCTGGTGGAAACTGACAGAAGTTTTTCAGGGGTGTTTACTGCATTCATCATCAGGACGATCGCCTAAAACTTCATGCAGTATCTAGTAGGCTACACAGCGCAACATACCCGAAGACAGCCATCTTAGTATTCGTCGCCGTGAAAATCTGAGAAGTCAACCTGGAATAAGCTGCGAAAGCCTTCATGTGGACTCCACCCTGGTTCCGTAACATCCAGTCCGCAACTTCATGCATTGCCCGGCAGACTTTCTCCCTTAGGTTTTCCAACCAACATTTTGTATGAATTTCTTATACCCCATTTGCGTGTTACATATCACGCCCAGATGAAATTCACAAATTATGAAGCTCTTCATTATGTACTTTCTCCATGCTTCGCTTCCTTCCTTGTTTGGTCCAAATGTTCTCCGCAGTACTACGTTCTCACACACAATCTGCGTCATTCCCTAATTCCCCATGCAAAACAAAAGGTGCGTAATATGTACATTCGAGAACAAGGCGCATAATTAATTTATTCATTTGACTTATACGTGGAAAGTTTGTAACAACGTTTTAATTAAAATTAATAGAATATTTAATATTTTTCTAATCGGCATTGAAATTATTAATTATTAGGAGTATGACCACACCGTACTAGTAATTCAATTTAATTCCTTTATTACGGTACTTTTCAACGTGAAAACCTGTATGAGACAAAAATTAAAACAAAGTAATTAGCATAACAATTACGCAACAACAATAAACAAAGTATAACCATTCGATTAGAAATAGAGTATCACTACTTTAACATAAACATTTAACAGCAATTAACATTTTCAGAAGTAGAAGATGAACTATGTCATAAAACAATGGTTTCATTAATGGGATCCGGAAGGTGTATGCTACAGAGTACAGATGACGAAGACATCGACGGTAAACTTTCTACGAGATTACACGGCACATCCAGCCAGAAGACACCCATCTTCTGAATCTATATTCACTCCCAGTAAATTAATTACTTAACTTCAACTAAAATTTCATCACCGTGGTTAAATTTAAAACTTTATTAAAACAGTACTCGTCACGCACTAGAACCGCGTTGGCGAGATCAGGTCATTTGTTTGAATGCCCTCCAGACCTATCAGTCGATACTGGCGTGCTCGGTCAGTGGAATGAGCTGTGAATAATCACTGTTGTTATGAAACCAAAATATCCCACGAATAATTCTACCCATCCATCAAACACCGACGTCTGCACACGCCAATTTTTGTTATGGAAGTACAACCTGAGATTCAAGATGTGACTTCGGTTTTATTTCTAAATTCTGTGGTACTTAACGCCGAAACAATTCGATTGTGGTGAAATTATCGTTCAGAAGCCACTCGTTGCCACCACTGTTAAATTGGAATTGAAATCAAATTGTGTTCATGACACTGACACCAAAGAGCATCAGCTCCTGACGTAATAACGCCATGGAGCTGCACAACACACCTAGTACCATTCAGTTATTGAGCAGAAATAGGAACTGACGTCATCACTAGTTTGGGATGCACAACAGCTGAATCAACGACAGGACTGCCCCAGACAGTAAAACAAAGGCCCCGTTTGTAGGTACTTGTTTTAGAATTATGTCTTTGGATGGTCGTTATACGAATACAGGTAAATCAGAATGAACTCATAATGTAGTGCGGCCCATTCATATACCTCCCCGTCCTTCGTCAAACTTTCAACCCTCGAATTAATTGCCTTCACGTCAATAAAATGGAGTTTCGTTTCAACTGATAAAAGCGATGGAGGAGAGAGAAGGGTTAATTTCGAAGTCTGGATCTAATTATTAATTTGAATTGCGGATTTGAACCTAGTCTCCTTCTTAAGTGGCCATATGTAGAGACTGTAATTTACTTTAGGTGAAAGTGTAGACGCTGGTTTTGTTACTGAGAGCGAGAAAACGCAAAAGAGAGGAGGGTGAGGATACCGAAGAGGAAATGCCGAGTTAGTTGACACAATATGCACAGATGGCGCTGCATTTCTGTAGCATGTGTTGCCCTAATGAATTTGCAGGCTCACTTTAACTATTTTAGCAAGTTTCCGTCGAGTTTGTACTTTCTAAGTGAATGGCTCTATTGTAACAACGGTGCTCCAATATATCATGTGTTTGAATGTCAACATCATTGTGTCCTCAACAATCTGTCTTAGCTAATGAATACAGCAACTGCACTGCTCCTTTCATTTAATAACATGGTACAATGCCATTAGGAATGAATACTGTCCGCGCGTCAAAAGAAGTCCGCTGGAATGTATGAGAGGGAGGGAGTAATCTTACAGCGCATGCTCAAGCTACCTATTCCTAAACCAAAAACATTCAACTCCAGTATTTCTTAGTAGAACAGTGCAGTAGGAACCAGATTACTTGCGATTTCTTAGCGCGGGGGCAAA